ACGCCCCAAGAAAGTTATTCCCCTCTAAAATTTTTTCTTCGCCGCGTCCCGTTCTTCCAGCGCCCGGGTGATACCTGCCGCGCTCCAAGGCTGACGCCGAACGCGCAGACGCTTTCTGGCGCAACGGATTCATGTCTAGCACTCTTATTAACAAAAACAGGGGGTCGCAACTGGACCCCTCGAGAGCTAGGGGGTCGCAAAAATCCCGAAAATGTTCGAACGTGACGGTTGACCCTGGCATAGTGGGGTAAGCGCGGACAGTGCGAAAAGCGTCAAAACGCGCCGATTCATGACGCTAACGGGACGAACCCAGACGGTGCATTTCGAAAGACCAGTTTCAGTTTCAACACATTCTGCATATTTTTGATGTTCTACGTGCTGAGTTGCTTTCTGTGATGTTCTTCTAGCGTAAGATTCGTTTTTATATGGTTTATTATTTTTGTGCACTAATTAGCTTACTTGGGCTTACCGCCACATCCACATGCAACTGCACTAGGCTAACCGTACAGGGACTACTGGAGAATAATAACTTATATGAAAAAGAGAAAGTTTCGGCTAGAAAAAAAGGTCGAAATCAACACGACAGTGGAATATCGAAAAATATACGGAATGTATTGACTTCTTTGCCATTAATTCAAATGAAACTCTTCAAACAGCTTTATGGGACGACGTTTCGGGCCTTAAGCCCTTCTTCAGGTCTACAAATACAAACATGCTAATTTTACATCATCAATCGACCTAGATGAGACAGTTACAATACAGTGGGAAACGAAAGAGTCTTAACACTGTAATTGTCTCATCTAGGTCGATTGCTGATGTAAAATTAGCATGTTTGTATTTGTAGACCTGAAGAAGGGCTTAAGGCCCGAAACGTCGTCCCATAAAGCTGTTTGAAGAGTTTCATTTGAATTCATGGCAAAGAAGTTAACACAATGAAGCTCAGGAACCCTTTGATCTGGAATGTGTTTGATTGAAATTAGTAGATTGAAGGGCACCGACCCTGCGCCACATACGGGTCATGTGCCAGTGCGTTGTGTTAACGCTTTCCGCACTGTTTGCACTGACCGCCCTATCCGCAGTGTCCGCGCCGGCGCAAAGTATGAAAGGGCGTGAGGAAGTGGTCGTAGACGCCGAGTAGCGGGAGATCGACTAGGGTTCGATTCGTTGACCTTGACAAGGCATAAAGAAGGAGTATAGGCTCGAAAATGCTTTGAAGACTTTCAATCACAAAGTGAGGATGGGCGGGAATCGTTGGTGCAAACCGTTCCATCTTCAATTCATCACGCGTAGAATATTGCATCGAAAATGATCGGCAGAATATTGCATCAAAAGAAAATGATCGGCTTTGCCAACCCGAAAACAAAATGTTTACACATTGAAGAAAAATTTTTTGAGTGCCGAATTTTTCGTAATGTTTATGGTTTAGGTTGAGAAGCAGTATACTCGGGAAGACGGATGGAAATAATAAATTGTTAAAAAGTGCTTGGAGATGTTGTTTCAAAAGCTGAAAAACCCGCATGCTCACAAAAATTGCACCGCATCACCCCTCCCCCTCCCTTCCCTTCCCTGAAGAAAAGATCGGCAGGACTAATTTTCGCTTGGTGAAACATTGGGAACATTTTCAGTGCCCATCAAAAATGTCAAAACTGTAAATTTCTACGAAGTTGCAGAATTCTGACAGTATGTTTGAAGATTACTTAAGAGCTGAAATTCGCATGTGGAGGGGAATAAAGGTGCGATATTTTGGAGAATCGAATGCTTACAAGTGTTTCCAATACTTTTTAGAAAATGAACAAATTGTACTTCTTGGAATGTTACAGTTCCTCGAGGGAAAACATTTGATTAAAGTTTTATGCGTTTCGAGCAGGAAAACTTCCTCGTTCGTTGAGAATTTGATTCTCTTTCCTTCACTCAGAAAGGAGATGCTAGTCGCGATTAGCGTTGGAAAATTTTGGATACTAGATATCTAGGGGTTTCAAAATGTCACTTACTGAGGTGTTTAAGTTAGGGTGGCCACTGGGCGCTATCGCGCGGTCTTCCTTCCCGTGACCTGAGGAGGATCCGTGCTCTTTTGCAAAGCACACTGCGTAGTCGCAGGAATTCAACCCTGGCGCACCCTCCAGCTTTTCCAGTGCTGTGCAGTGGTTCGTGTGGAATTAGGATGGTATCGATACCTCCTATGACTAAGAGCCGCTAAATTGCAGAAATCGTATGGTCGATTCTGACAGGAACGCCCCCTCACGATTCAACGAACCTATTGTGACCGCTGCCTCTGAAATACTTTGAGTTTGTCAACTCACTTGATGTTCCACTGCTGTCGGTGGAAGTTTCGGCTGAAATCATATGAACAGTCAATTACATATTGCTTGCACAATTGTGGGATTTTAGAAAGTCATACAGTTGGCTGTTGTAGATGATGCCTCACTTGTCGGGTGGTTACTACGGCATCGTATAACTTCGTATAATGTATGCTGAAAATGCTGAAGGCAATTTGATTACATTGTCTTTTCGTAGTTAAAATGAACAAGGACTGTCTTACTGGTCGCTGCAGATGTTGCCCACATTGTCGAAGTGCCTGTGGATAAACATGGGTCATATAATGTGGGTTCTTCGACGGTTGTGGAAGCTTGCGCTGAAATGATGAAAATCATTTGAAACTGCATTTTCGCTATAGCTAGAATGATTGAGGCTATCGCACTGGTTGCTGCAGATGATCCCCAAATTGATGATGAACATGGATCGTATAAGGTGGATTCTTCATATGTGGTGGTGAGTTCTTCATATGTGGTGGTGGGTTCCTCATATGTGGTGGTGGGTTCCTCATATGAGGTGGAAGCTGACGCTGAAATTGTGAAACAGTTTCGATTCCCAACTCTAGAACACGTCAAAGTCAAGTTGCAGCTGAATACCGAGATGTTATACCACTCGGTTGTGAAGCAACAAAATTCTCTATTACGTGTAGCATTCTTCTGATATGTGTACCCTGTTTCTGAAAACCAGATGCTGGTCGAGTGCAGACCACACAACACAAGTGACGACGGCCTCCACAAAATGTAAATGTTTTCTGCCAATGAAATGATTAGCCGGTTGCAGTTGTATTCTATCAGTTGTCACTATTATAATACAATTACAACTCATTTACCAACTATCAGCTATCACTATGAACACCGTTACCAGATTTACTTGGAGGTCGTCGTCACTTGTGGTGTGTGGTCTGCATTCAACTCCACCTGGTTCTCGGAAACAGAGGGTATATCAAAATTTCCTAAGGTGGTTAAATGGGCATATAAAATAGTTAAATTACTTGAATATGAGTAGATGATACGATGCTGGTAGCTAGTGAAAATGAAAGATGAAACGATGAATGGTGCAGTGGTGGAAAAAAATCTAGAGAAACAGATAAACCCTCCGAAAAAAACCATCCTCTCTCCCTGGACGAGATTCTACGGTAGGCGACGTCATCAATGCAGAAGGCCTGTCCTGCCTCTATACACTCTGTTGCCGCGAGGGTAATCCCTCACTATAGACAAATCATAGGCCGACTGGATCAACAGCCGCAAAAGGCTATGGCTGCATCGAGAATCAAAGGTAGCTAGCGCAATGAATCCATCTAATAAATCCACCACCTGAGGGCGGGAGTTGCCATGAAAACAGGCGTCACCACGGGTATGTTTCTGGAGGGATGCTAGGAGTGCACCCCTGGTCACAAAACGCTACAACTCGTACCTTTAGTGTGTCGCTATAGTGGACTCCCCACTTCTTCAACATTCAATTTATGGTGTCAACCAGTTTGAATTCTCGTGATGCATGAGGCACCAGGGTAAAAATCGGTCGAACACTTATCAACGGCTCGTCGACTTCGTCTACTCTGTCACGCTCTCCACCGCGGACATTCACTCTCGCAACCGTTTGCGTTCGTTCTCCACGCGCACATTAACCCACGACACTTTTCCCGCACATCGCACAGTCCAGAGCCATGGTCGAGGACTTTCCTTTGTTTGGTTTGTTTTGTTTTTTTTTTGCATTTGATTACCTTGAACGTCACAGCCTTTGCGGCAGCGGATCCCGACGAGCTGTCACAACTTAGTCTGGCAGGGTGAATATCGCTTGAGGATTCCTCAACGGCACGTCGAGGATTCTCTGCCCGATCAGACACGATCTCTCGCGCGGACATTCACACTCGCCATGCCGTGCCGTCTGTGCTCTCCGCGCGGATGTTCACTCTCGGCACTACTCTCGCATGGTAGAGAGCTATGGTCGAGGATTTCCTCGACCGTTATTCACCCTGGTCACTGATCATACTAATATCTCTTTGATAAT